AATGCCCCTAGAGTATGGACATCAGCTACAGCCTATGTCCCTGCAGTAGCTGGGCCTTGTTAGATATTCCCTGAATTAAAGAGGCTGAAAAGAGAGAGAGAGAAAATTGACCTGGGAGAAGAATTAATTGCAGACTCTGAATTTAGCAGGTTTTAAGTTCTGTATAGGGTTCAACTGCCAGGTTTCTAACTAAATTACCATTAGGACCACCAGCACACTGACTCCTACATCCTGTTCCGTGCAGTTGCCCAGCAGTCATAGAAAGTAAAAAAAATAAAACCCAAAACATCACCTAAAGATAACCTAAAAAATTTGTTAAGCCCACACACAGAGGTTAATGTGGTATCACCAGCGTTGTATCTGCAAGTAGATTTCATAGACACCAGGCACCAACAGACGTCCCCTTTCTTTTTGTTGTGGCTGTGGTGCTTGCCATCTGACAGTCAGAGCATTGTGCTCCAAGGAGCGTAGAGCAAAGGGCTGTGTCACCACTGCTGCCATGAAATGAGGGAGGGCTGCAAGGGTCCAGGCATGGGGAGAGGCTGGGGGCAGCTGCACGGTTAGCAGGTGCAGTTCAAGTAAGCAACTTAACCTTCTTTTCTGCGCAGTTCTCATCCAGAGGGAAAAGACGTGGTGTCTGAGGAAGTTATTCCCGTGCTGGTGAGCCTGCTGGAAGATACCGATCCTGACGTCCAGGCCAGCGCAGCAGGAGCACTGATGTTTGCTACTATTAAACCTCAGGGTGAGAGACAGAGGCAGTTCTGCTGGGATACTTTCTGGAAACCCAATTCTAAAGCAACTTAGTAACAAAGCTTGTCCCTCCCCCAGCCCACAAAGTCCTCATTTTCTGATAGTGTTAAAGCTCTTTGAGAAACTCTTAAGATTAGGACATTTCATTAGCTCTGTCTCAAGCAACTACTGTTGCTCCCCCGTAGTGTGTAGGGGGACAGTGTATTTTACAGGTCGTTCACCTGAAGTAGGTCAGGAAGTGACTTATCTGCCTCACCTCATTTCCCTCCAGAGGGGGAACATTTTCCGTGCAAGTCCAGACCACACAGAGATCCACATACCTGAAGCACCAATCCTCAACAGAGGAGCACTACTTTCTGGAAACACTTTGTGTGGTTAGAGGCAGTTTCTCTCTCACAGCTGGGAGAGGAGTGAATGTTAATCAGGTCTGTAGTTCTCCCAAGTAGCTTCCATGACACCAAAAATACTAACTGCTAAATTTGAATGAGTAATTAGATGAATGAGTAATTAGACATAAAAGACTCTTAATAACAGCAGTTGTGCTCCAGTCCTCATCTGCAACCGTCCCCCTGGCTTCCGAATACAACACAGGAGTGGATCTCAGTGTTAGAAGTGTCTTTAAGAATAAAAGAAAGGAGGTTGTTCTTAAGGGCATCTATCCCACCCGCCCCCAAGCAAATAGTTTATCCTGTCACTCCATGACTCATATATTCTTAGATGAGTTGTTGCAAGTGAAATAATAATGCGCAAGGCAGATACAGTTGGCTAATAAAGATCTTTTTTCTTAAAAATAAACAGCTGACAGCTTTGGCCTTCAAAGGAAAAGCATGTCCTACCTCTTCGCCCTGCACCCTCTGGGGTGCTCAGAGCCATAGCTGGGCAGGGAGTAGAAAGCAGCAATTCATAAGCATGTTGATGATATATAAAAATACATTTTAAAGCCAGTTTATTTCTCTCCAGGGAGGTTCTCAGCCCTAGGTGCCGGAGCCATTCCACCTTTACTGGAGTTGGTTGCTGAGGAAACTAGCAAGGCCCGTCTGAGCGCAATCAAAACCCTCACCATGCTGGCTGAGCTGCCAGAGGGCCGCAAGACGCTCCTAGATCATACAGATACCTTCCAGCAGTGTCTGAACGACCCCCGTGAGGCAGTGCAAAAAGCTGCCAAAATTGCCATCAGTGTCATCAAATGGAAACCGTTCTGAAGAGGTGATGGTTCACAGAGATCTATTGCCCTCTGTTGTTGTCTGGCTATAAAAGTTGCACAATTATACGAGACTTTCAAAACCAAACTTTCTTCCTTGGTTACTCTGGATCAGTTCCTCCAGAAAAGTCATTTGTCAGCAGTTTCACATCTGTATTGCGGGTCATGAGCAGAATGATGGGGGAAAAGAAACGTCAGGAAGTCCAGAACTCTCCACTAGGAGTTATTGCCTCAGCTATCAAGACATTTTTCCTGTGATACAAGAAACCAATCCTTTTTGTTTTTCATAATGTTCTCTCTTTCCTTTTATTTTTTTTTTAAATCTCAGCCTATCAAACATTAATCAGTAACTGTTTTAGAAAGACAGGTTCATAATTAGCCTACCCAGCAGTCTTGTCTGTCCTGAGAAATCGACCTAATGACAGGAACTTACATGAGTTTTGCTGCAAACATTGGCTGCACATGGGATTAGAACCATTTAGAGCAATGGTTTTTCACAGAAAAAGCAATGGCAATGTCATAGAAGGGCTTCCCCAAGAGAGTTATGAGACTTTCCCAGCCTTAAATATAACGAAGTACTTACCAGCACCCTTCAAACAAACGGAGTTGCTGACGAGACTTGCCAGCGGTGAGGCTGGTGAAGATGGACCCCACTGCACGGGGCTAAGAGCACCTTTCTGAAATTGGTTACGGTATGGAACCAAAATGCCTCTGTGTGTGTGCTCGTACTTGGTAGTTTGTAATTTTGCACAGCCATAATCTATCCTTTGGGTACAAAAATTAATAAATACAATGGAAATGTAAGTGCTGTGTCAGAACTGAAGAGGTTTGCCGTAGTGGCTCATTTCTGGGGGAGAAGGAGAGGGGAGAGGAAAGCTGATCCTGATGTCACGGTCTGGTCCAACAGGAGTTGGACAAGATGATCTCCAGATGGCCCTTCCAACCTCACACGTTCTATGATTAACAGCTGTCTAAACAGAGAGATGAGGAGACAAACAGAGCAGAGAACTGAAAATGTCAATTCCCTATTATGGAAAAATGTGTGGGGGATTTTTTTCTTTAAAAAACTCAACAGTTGTTTTTTTTTTTAAAAAAAACAACCCTTGTACTTCATAAAATTGAAAATAACATAGAAAGTTCAAGCTGTTTGTAGAAGGAAGCCTATCCAACCAGACACACATTGCCTGAAGGAATGAGCTCCAGTGTTTGGAGCCGATGGGCAGTGGGAGTGGTGGGAAGCTCAGCAGCACTTTCCTCACTGTGGAGCCACAGCAGGTCACTACAGATCTGTTGCAAATTTCTCTGTCTGCAGGTGCAAGTGTGTGATTTAAGAGGCCAGGGCAAAGCAAGCAGGCAAACTGGCAGGACAAATCCTGGCCATTCTCAGCGACCCAGAAAGGTGCAATAGAGCAGCTGGCAGCCTCACAGGAAATCCCATTTGTTTTCTCTCAGGTTTTGTTCTCACACAGTATTTTTATATCTAGAAGTTGCTGGGCTGTAGCTACAAAGAAGCTGCATCATGTGTACAAAGGGGTTATTTGTCAGGGCTGCTTTTCCCCCTGCAGAATCCCACCATCACCCTGCAAACTGCATTACCCTTATACACGGTGTAAACTTCTGCTGTAGGAGTGATTAAAGTTAAAATGTTTCTCTTCCATAACCTAACCAAAGGGTGAATTTCCTCTGCTATAAAGATGTGATTTAAAAGTATTGAGTCAGTTGGATTCATTCCTTCTGGGCAGGATCTTGGAGGAACTCTGCCTTTTAAACACACTTTACATACATAAGGCGCTCATACATAATGCATAGCGGTGCCAGAGAGCATCCAGTTCAATAAGAGAGAGGCAGGCAGTGTAGTAACATGCTAAATGTTCAGTAGAGGACTGGGGAGCAAGGGAGAACAGTGGTCTCATCTACACTTGCAAAACTGCTCCAGGAAAATGCAGTAACAGGGGGCATTTTAGCTCAGTTCCAAACTTCTGTCACAGCCTTCCCTGATAATTCAAGTATCACACTTCAGCACCTTATCAAAATACTTCGCTTGTTCAGATGCAGAATTAAGATCACCCAGACTGAACTGCTCTGATCAGAAGAAATTCAGCCAACTTGGACCTCAGATACCACATTCAGAGCATCTGCCCGATCACGGCCATAATGCCAATATAAGCTGGTGCCAAATAAGGCTCTATATGGCATCAGTGTTCCTGTCTTATATACACACACTATACAGAGATGGAGCAAAGCTTTAACTGAACTCAGAAATATGGATGCCATGTGGTACCACTTCCACAGGTCAGCTTTTGCCTCAGCAATTCTTTGGCATTATTACACCTGACAACGTGAGGTGTTTTATCTCACTCACAACAGTATTTCCATTTGGCTGTATTGCCCATGTACTGCCTGTGTCAACATCAGCATTCAAAGCCTGCACACCAAACAGCCATGAACCATTATTAATTTTATTTTTTTACTTCTAAAGCTGTATTTACTGGAAACAGGTTGTATATATTATAGCTCAAATTCACATGCTCAGGAATGGTGCAGCTTGCTGCGCTTATCGGAAGGGCTGCAGATGACAAATGTTTGGAGGAGCACAATAAAATATAGGACAATGGTGGGAATGTTAAACAGTCCATGTGAAGCAAAGGATGCTACAGAGAATGGAAGCTTATGCAGAAATAACCTTATTTACTGCAGAACACCATTTGGTATCTGGTGTTTCTAGGGCTGTCCCGTCTCGGTGTCCCAGAGTTTGGTGTCTCTTACTGGGTTACACAGCAGGAGGCCAACGCAGGAGAGCGTAGAGCACAGACACGTGCAGCAACCCCCATCAGAGCATGGGACACAAGGGAACAGTGCACAGATCTACCTGGTACAGCAGAGAAATAGCACATCATCTTTGTAATCCTGACTATAAGGAACCTGAATCAAGAGTTAAGTTCTTATTCTACAAAATCATTTTTCAGGGTAAATGAAAACGTAACACACAACTGCTCCCATGGTAATACGCTGATTCCTAAATCTCCTTCCTAGAATTAGTTACTTAGCCACAATTTGACACCTGAAATGTCCCTTCACATTCTTCATAGAGACCTTTGAGATCTCAAATGTAATTGAAATTAGTCAAATAGGTAAAACTCCCAACTAATTGTCCCAGTGGGGGGGTTCCCCCAGGGAAAGATTGACATGCTTTCTTTTTACGTTATTTGGCAGGAAATAACTTGTGCTATTTTATTAGAACTTATAACAAAAAAGGAAGATATATAATTTGATCAGGTTATATTATAGGCCACGCATATATTTAGTAACAAGGCATAAAACCAGCACGTAATTATCACGACCATTCACCAATGTTGACAGTTACTGAGATGTCCATTAACCTTTTGGGATATGTTTCAGTGTACTTCTGATGCTCCCTGTTAGAGCAGTGACCGTATGATGGGAGATGAGATTACAGCTCTGAAATAGGAGCTGGGAAATCAAATCAAGACAACCAAGAATAAGTCCTTGAAAAACTTCTCACAAATAGAGAAATTGATGGTGAAAAAATGAAACATCCAAGTTGTCCCAAAACATATTTGGAAGAGAGACAAAAAACAAGCCAGTGGCATGAAATTATAAGGTAAGAAGAACTGGGTAGAAAATATACAACATAAGGCTGGATTGCTCTTATTCATCGTGAAGCTAACTTTGATTCTGTAATTTAGCAAATAATCATTGAATGCATTTTCATATTTAGAAAAAAATTCTTACGATTAAGGATCTTATTTTCCTTCTGAGGTACCCTCAGTCTGGAAACAAAGGAGAACAAGATGTACTGAAGTTGCAGTACCACTGATTTATAAACCATGTTGGCATTAACCCAAGATATCCTTTGGCCCTAGCAGTATTGTGACTTCTGTCAGTTATTCCTGAGTACAGTGGTGTCCTTAAGACAGTGCTCAAACTGCAAAAGGCATCCTAAAATGCTTCTCCTACTGACATTCTGATAAAGTGAAGAGGTCTCCTGTCCTAGCACATCTGAGGGCAGGGACAGTCTGGGTTATGTTCCCCACCAACATCACCAACAAGATGATGACACTGATATTACACGATGCTAAATGGGCAACCTGCAGTTTTCTATGTGCACGCTCTCAAATTAGGAAGGGTTTTCCTGACCCAAGCCACAGAGGTGTGCTCACGGGCTGGGCAGTTGGCTCGGTGCTGAGCATTGATTCAACATGCAGTGAAGGTCTAAGGACCAGGGAAAGTACTGAGGTGTAGGGCATATGGGGAGTGCCATGGCTGCCTAGAGCTTTGGGATGAGACACAACAGTCCCCAACCTGTGAGGCTGGGCGGGTGATTAGCGCTCCAGGTGTCAGTAAAACCATCAACTGGGTCAAAGAAACAGCTGATGAACCCTTCCCCTTGGACTGGCTTAACTTTCAGTCAGGTACACTGCAAAATAAACCTGCCACAGACTTGGTCACAAAACCGCTGAAGATCCTTTTGAATTAGTTCATGTGCGTTACACGTACTTAAATTAACACGTCAGGGTCTAGCACTCTCAGACACTGTAATTAAACCCGTTCTTTCAAAAGAAATGCTGTGTGTACTGCAAGTCTTTGTCTTTAGCCCTACATGCTCCACAGTGCTCTGCTCTACGACATCAGCATCTAGGCAGATTGTTAAAATCAATGAAAAATGATTTGTCTTTTTAGCTTGAAGCCAACAATGATTAAGGCCCAGATGTAATTAATGTGGTCCAAGGTCAATACTGGAATTAATTCAGTTACACTCTACACAGACCAGGTTTTCAAATGAGCTGCCTAACAGCTCTCAGCAATACCAGGAAAAGACGAGACAGCTGCAGTCATGGGAAACAAGACCTTCTTGCCCAGACCTTGTGTCCCACCCTCATTTTGAGCACTCTAAGGTTTGTATTGGTTTTCTCTAACAGTTTCCAGAAGGTTAAGAATATTATGGCTCTTTGTCCTTGCAACTACAGACTCATTTCCCTGTCCTCATTTCCCAGGAACTGGAAACCATTCTGTAGTGCTCTGGAAAATGGCAGCTTTTAATTCTATCTTTTCATGTTCCAAAGCAGAGAGCATTTTTGCTTCCCAACACTACATTACCCATTTAAAAAAAAATAAAAATCATATTAAAAATGCATAGAAGTGAGAGATTTGTCTAAGAACAAAATAAAGAGTCTGGGAAAGTCAGATTTTACTCATTCCATTAAGCCAGAAGGGCAGAATGTCTTTTCTGCAGCTACACACAGAATTAATATACCAGAAAGTTCAAGCACAGGACCTGTTTTAAGCAAGACAAAATTTGCAGTTTGAACGAATGAAAACCATTGTAATAATTTCAAGATACTTTGAACATAAGCTAAGGTTTTAAAGTTATAGACTCTAATACCATACATAACAAACACTGTGCAGAGTAGGGATGAACTCACACTTACCTCAGCCCAAAGTCCTCCCAGGTCCCCTAAGCAAAGCAGGGGAGCTGCTGGGGAGCTGGTGGTGCAGCACAGGCACAGCTGCTCCAGCCTTAAGCACCGCCAGGTGAGGACAGGGTGGGCACAAGAGCTCCAGGGAGAGCCTTTTTTTCATCTTCCCGTGGTAGATGACAGCAGTGATGCTCTTCAGGAGGGACAAAATACCAACCTATTTTATTAATAATACGGGTAATAACCTCAGACACTGGTGCTGGTTACGCTCTCTTCCATCAGAACAACCAGTCAATATTGGAGTCAGTGCAGCTTTTAAGTTTCTAGCACAGGCCTGCAACATGCACCCCATGAACAAAATGCCAAGCATCGCCAGGTGAAATCCAGGGGGTGTTCATTGCGTTTCTCATCTTTCTTAGCGATGTGCTGCCCTCTGTTGTTAGAGCGGTGATACTGCACTTTAAGTTAAACCGAGGGGAAGCTCCCATTGCTGCTCCTTACCTCACTTTCTCGCTACCGCAGAGGAACGCTGCATGTGCAGGACACAGAGACCTGCAGCTAAGGTGTAAAAACATTAAATAAATCTTAAGAACGCAGCAGCCTTCCTCAGAACAGCTTTGCTGTGACCCGATGGCCTGTGAACAACCCTCCTCTGTGCAACGTGACTGACTGGCCCCAGGAACACCTTTGAACCAATGAATTCAAGTGTCTTTCAAAGACAATAACCATGGCTCTGGAGCTTTTCTCCCAGCTGCCAGTCACCACTGGTGGTACATATACTTATCATTACTTTTTGCTCCTCATCTTTGTGTCAGCTTTTATGTCATGTAAACTTTCCTAATTTTGCTGGTTAAGAAAGTGATCTGAGCAGGAGTTGAGCCACTTACAGCTGCAGCTGCTGACGGTGCTCTGGTCTGGACAATGGCTTACACCTGAGGAGCTCAGCCTCCTGCTGTGTCCCAGCTCACCATGGCCAGACCTTCTGGTTAAAACCAAACCCTGGTTACTGCAGGTGTATTCCACATGGAGCCACAGACTTCCCTTCCCCCAGCATTCCAGTGCGTGAGCTTTTTCAATAACAAAACAGGGATTAAAACAATTTCTGAGTTCTAAGAACAGTGTTCTCATGATCATTAATAATTAACATTTATGAGATACTTGGATATATTTGTTATGGGTGATACAGAAAAAAAACCATAAGAGTGATTACCATTTTTCAGGACTTTCAGATCTGATTTGTTTAGTGCGTATTTTTTGTATATCAGTGTTGTAATTGGCTTACAGTGCTACTAAGTGAGTTTTTAATTTTATTTTCCTTTATTTCATGCAGTTCATTTAAAACAATTCTGTATATGTAACTAAAGTCCAGTAAAATAAGCTGTGACCCTCTATCGTACCTGAGAGGATAAGCTGGAGTGTCTCAGGATCACCTGAAATAGAGTTGCATTACTCTGTACATGCCACGTGTGTGTATTGTGCCATTACAAAGATTAATCTGGAGTCTCTCCACCAACCAGAAGTATTTCAAATTTACAGTCAAACATGGGGAACAAGCATGTGTTCACTGTTCCCCCTGCTGAAGTATGAGAATGCCCAGGGCAGTGTAAGCTCCTTTTTGGGTTTTGTCTGAGGGTGCCCCACGACAGCAGCTGTAACATGGACAAAGCTACCCTGAGAACTTCCTTAAAATCATGAAACTGCCTTTGAATGCAATAGCTACCAACCTGAGGTGGCATTTAGCTGTTAATGTAAACATAGAAAGTTTTATCAGCTGCCCACAACATCAGGCAATTTTTCTATGAAACTCTACAAAAGCAGCGGAGTACTCTAAGCTGCAGTCAAACTTCATGTAAACATTTGAACTCTGCCCTCGACAGCATCCACTTCTCACACCGGAATGAAAACAGGTTGCTAAGGATGTGCAGTGAATGTCCCTGGGAAACCAAGAGTTAGTTTTTCAAAATTCTCTAATCTTGGGGAAGAAAATGAAGTGATGGTGCCTGATTAACCAGAAGGTCATCTAACAGCTGCTCAACCTGCCAGGAATCACTTGTGTTACTTGTCCTTATGCAAATGGCCATATAATTTCACCATATTTTCTTCATGTAACACAATGTGACAAAGAGGGATCTGGGCAATCCTCACTGAAGTCCTTCTTGCTTGTCATTCGTTACTATTACCCGCAGCCAAAATCCAGACACCAAACCAAGTTTTGCTGTCTTCCATCATATTATATAAAAATCCCATTGTTTTGTGGACACCAAATACTTCAAAATATACAAATACTTTAATACATACAAGTCCTCATAGTCCATTAAATATAATTCATTCCATGGTCTTTAAAGTACGTTATCACTGTATTAACTGTAAGAAAAAGGTTTGCACTGGTATTTATAAGGTATTGATTTGATCAGGCCTACGCAAAAGCTTTCAGTACAGCAATTCTGCTGAAGAGCAGCAATCCTACTAGAATCCAGAGCATTCTGGTTTAGATCCAAATGAAGAAAAGATGATACTGACAGAAGGTTTTGAAGTGAGAGTGATTAAAGCTGCAGGAGTTAGCAGCGATGTGGAGTAGCACATGCAGGGAGACTACGCCGGTTTCCTATTCAGATGCACTCATCACAAGTCTGGTGCATCCTGCTGTGGAGCTGCACTGCGGTGCTTTGAGGCAGCGCAGCATCCCACAGTACACGTGCAACAGGAGCGAGGAGTTGTGGTGCAGCCTGACTGCAGCAACCGATGTTGTCTTCTTACACTTGATTCCTCAGGAAGCTGCATTAGATGATAAGAAGATCTACTGCTTTTTGCTTTGAAACGTTCAATCTATCTTTTCCTGTATGTCCAGCTGGCATCAAGCATATCAAGTGGAGACAATCAGACTGGTTTAGCTGATATCCCACAACTGTGACTGTTCTCCTTCACGAACTGTTTACTCTGTGAAATCTTCAGAAGAAAGATTTATAGCTTTGCAGAGAAGCAGTAGAGGGCCCTCAGATGTACTTGAAAGAAAAATGCAAACCCAGGGTTCTGATGCTTTGAACTTGTAACCGTGTGGTGGGACTGCTCTGTAGTACGGTCCATAGCAAGAAGCGATACCTAAACACCAACCCCACAATGAAGAGGTCCTAATAACTGTGGGTAGAGATTAACTTTGACATACCAAGATGGGAATTGATCAGTAAGAAATAAATATATATATACACACACGCATTTACATATATATTTTAAAATATATTATATATATAGTGCATATATATAAAGTACTGCATGTGTATATATAATGTGTATTTTGTACAAAAAAGCTTCACATTCAAGTATAGATACATATTCAAATATAAAGAGAGGAGGACCTTTTGAAGTGAACCTTAAACAGGTAATCTATCAGAAGCAGAATTCGTATCAAGATCATCAAGACAACTTTTCCCTAATTCCAAAATGTGATCAGCTCAGACTGTCAGTGTTCCTTCCACTGGTTACTGAGAAACACAGCACAGTGAAAAGTGACGGAAAGGGGAAAGAACTAATAATGGAAAGTCAGCTATAGTGTCAAACACCTCCATATATACATAAATCCTTTACTTAAGATATCCCGTGCTTGGAGGGAATAAAAACCATTTTTTAGTTTGAATTCATAACGTCCCTCAGTTGCGGGGTTTTTGTAATCAAATTATCATTACCAAAGGAAAAAGAAATGTGAATGATCAGAAGAAGGGTTGCAAATCAACCCTAAATGGTATTTCACAAACCCTGATATGAAATATGGCTCATGAAGCCTTGTTCTGTGCCTAAAATATGAAATGTATCATGAGTAGAGAGGATATTGGACGGAAATTCTGAACCTCTATTAGCCCTGGGTTGATTCAATGTCTAAATAGAAATCCTCTCCCTTGAAATCCCAGTGGCCTTCATCTTTAGACTGTTGAAATTATGATCACAAAATCAGCAAGTCAATCACCCTCATACTTTTACAAACATAGACAATGATAATACTAAGTGTATCTAACTCTGTAAATCTACAAGTCATTGTTTTTCCTTGACAATACAGTACAATTTCAGGACTGTAATTAGAGGTTTATGCAAAGAAGGCATGGCAAAATACAGCCACAGTCAATAGGATGATGCCATTGATATTCACAACATTTCTCCAAAGTGGCACTTCACTTGTGTCAGTCAGTTTCTTCTTCAATGCTTCTTCTTCCTCCTTGCTCAGTTTGGGTCCTTTTTGTTGATCTAAGCCACAGAACCAGTTGTAGGCTTTCTTAAAGCATCCTGGTTTTTCTTCACTTTCTTCATTAACTGGAAGGAATAACACACTGGTCATGAAATGTAAGCGTGGACCACCGCATGCACTAGGAGATCTCTGTGACTGAGGATATTTCTAGGTCTAATACAGCAGTTCTGATTTGTGGTCCTAGTTACAAGGAAACATTTTAGTACAAGGCAGTATAAGAATCAAGTTATTACTGGTTTTTCACAGCTCGCTTGGAAAAAGAGTGATTTTCTACGTGTTGCAAGAGAGCCTTTTGCAGAAGACACTTGAGCCTTTTGCAGCTTAGAGACTTGGTCTGGTACTGAAGTAGCAAACGATGCTGCAAAGCTAAAACTCCTTTTATTGACACTTTCTACACTTTTAATTAAAAGACTAATCAGTTAATCTGAGGATACTTACAGAAAGGAACTTGCCAGCAGAACCAGAAACCTGGCAAAGAGAGCAGGTGGTTTTGCCCAGATGTTTGTCTGGCAATTTGCTTTCATGGTGCCTTGCACCAGATCCTTGCTCCTTCAGCCCTGGCTACTACCCACTATTTCCAAGTGAATTCTTGTTGTTTCATCCCAAATGAAGAAGTCACATGCAGTTCTGCCAGTGCACACCATCTCTGACCAAAAGCATCTCCGCTGGTTTAGTCCTAGAACTGTCACCTTGCTCCCTAGAGAACAAGATTTTCTCCCTGCAAATCCACTTCACTTCTGATTTACACTGAGCTTGACAGGTAAAAGGCAGCTTACTAATCATTTAAATATATGGGGTTTGAGGATTTGTTGTTGGAGGGGAGAGAGTATGTCTTTGAAGATCAAACATGTTAACGTTTCTTCAGGAATGAATAGGAATACTTAAATATATTGACAGAATCTACAGCTATTCAATGGTTACCTGATTCTTCATCTTTTTCATCAGCTTTGTCCTGCTCCTCATCTGCATCAAGATCAATACGTTCTTCTTTGCTGTTCCTCAACGTCCAGCACAAGCGGTAAAGCTGCCGTGAAACAAAATGAGTTTATTTTGAGTGAGGCTACAGCCTCTCCTCATCTGCATCAAGATCAATACGTTCTTCTTTGCTGTTCCTCAACGTCCAGCACAAGCGGTAAAGCTGCCGTGAAACAAAATGAGTTTATAAATCTACAGCCTCACTACACAGAGACAAATCAGTCCGCTCAGCACATGAACAAGCTACAAGACTGTAGCATCCCAAACGTCTGTTAAATCAACGTCTAAGACTATTAGGAGTCACTGAAGATTTGTGACAGATAAATGAAGACTATTTCTTTTTCTTTCTTACAAGGACTATGTGATGTGGGTAGCTGAAATGGCAGGAGGTAATATACCAAGTGGAAAACTAGTGGTGTCATTGAGTTCCATTTCTTGAGGAGCAGAACTTCAGTAATACTCACATGTACATCAGGAATGGGCTTAGTCATGAAGGAGACTGCCAGGATGATGATGGCAGTAACCCCAAAAAGAATCATTGCAAAGTAAAGGTAGTGAATCCCACAGATGATGAACGGGCAGTTGGAAGGGGACACACAGTTGCCAGTTCCGTAGGCAAACTCTGAAATCATTCTGCCAAGTCCAGCCAGCAGCCCAATCATCAGGCCCCAGAAGGCACCCTGCAAACAAAGCGACAGAAGTTACCAAAATGAGTCATTTCAGACATGGAAATAAGCTCTAAGCTCTGAATAGTGCTGAAGGAAACAACCTGTTATATTGGCTTTGGCGCATGGGTTTTAACCCAGATGCTTTCAGTGACCTGAAAGCTCAGTGTATTAATACAACCAAAAGGGGCAATGACAGCAGCTCTGAGAGAATATGGAGGCCACCTTATCCAGGTCATTTCTCAAAGCTCATCTGTCTCCACACAATGCTCTCCTTATACAGGACAGGCTCTAGCCACAGTCTACACATCCCAAGGGTTGTTCTCGTATCTTTTTGTCTTTGAGGGCTAAATCCCTGACAGTTCCAGCATGATGGAACCAGCTAGCAAGTGTGTGTCATTCTTCCTGAAACTCGTGTCTGGCTTCTTCTCTAATGACCTTGTTAGTAATTAGTTAAAAGTTAATTCTCGATGTTTTTGGTGGATGTTTTACTGCTAGGTATATATTACTCTAGCCCAAAGTATGAAAGATGCATAGGTATGTCTGGGCACAAATTGAAATACAGGAAATTCTGTTTAAACAGAAATAAACTTCTTTTTTTACTATAAGGGTGGTTGGAACAGGTTACCTAGAGACATTGAGTAGTCTCCATCCCTGGAGATATTAAAAACCCAATCAGCCAGGACCTGAGCATCCTGCTCTTGTTAGCCCTACTTTGAGTAGGGGGAGGTTGCACTAGTCCAGGGGTGCCTTCCAATCTCAACCAGTCTGTGAGTTTGTGAAGCCAAAAAGCCAATGATGGCAACACAAATTTATAATTCCTGATTAAAAAACAGTCTGAGTTTAATGCTGGGTTTAAACACCAAACAGTTTTAATTAGCCAATGGTCAAAGTCACAAAAAAGTTTTGGATTAGGATGTGATAGTTAATTCCATTTCTGGTGGAAAGATGAATGATTCTGAGCAAGAAATGTTGATAAATCTTATAAGTAATTACAATATTGGAGTCTATCTTATGCAAAGCTTCAATTCTCAGACACTGCAATGCTTGTCTCCCCTGTTTACCCAGATTTAAAGTGTGCAGTGTACCCAAGGCCCCAAAGATTATACTGAATTCTTACTCAGGTAAAATTCCAGCTAAAGTCAATGACAGATGTCCACAAAGGGCACAATGATTTAATCCATTGGTGAGGTTTAGCCATATTGGGATAAGAAATGGAACACAGCTTGTGTGTAAAACAGGCTGTTCTTGGATATACAGACAAACAACCACTGAACTGCTCTTGAGAGAAAACAGTGACAAAAAAGTCTGAGTGTTACTCAGAAATGCCTGGGCCTTCGCATTGAACTTACCCTCTTTGGAGCAAACCCAAGCAATAGGCAGGCGTTGTTATGCCCAGTACTATAGAAAAGAAGCTGAATTTCTGCGTACTGAGTTTTCAGAATGTCTGAGACCCTCATTACCACAACTGGCCTATGGGCTGTCGAAGCATGTGACAGCCCTCATGCCTTCAGAATTACTTACAAAGGCTTAAGTACAGTATTGTTCAGCTCACCACTCTACAGATCAAAAAATCATTGATTCCCAGACTAGGTCCTAAAAGCAATGGAAAAGAATGCACAAAACAACAACATGTTTGCCTAAAAGTGTTGACAAAATAGATAGCTGTCTAAAGGCAGGTGAAAGGTGATAGATTTGGTAATCTGGTGACCAATATCCTAAAAGACTACTTTCAAATATGTCCCCATAAATCATACATTTGACACACTTCTTGCCAAAGTGATAGATAACCTAGGTTTCAGAGCTATCTAGGAATTTCTAGGTGACTGTTTATTCACCGGATTAGCAAAGAACTTTTTCAAATTCATCTCTGAAATTTCAGGCCCTCAGATATGGACAGACAGGATCCTTGGGCTGTAGTAGCATTAAAATAAACAGGAAGAAGTTGCTAATAAAAGACACCAAAACAAAAAAGCATTTCTCCCAGTGCATGAAGAACATGCAGCAAAGCTCTTTCCTAATTTGTACTTACCTGCTCATTGACCCGCTTGCAGAAGACGGCAAGCAGGAAGACAGCAGCAATGGGAGGTCCCAGGAAGCTGGTAACTGACTGAATATAATCGAAGAGCTGTCCACTTTGAGCTGACTGCACCACAGGAACCCAGGCAATGCTGATGCCAATTAAAACTAACATAAATGCCCTGTAAACATAGCCAGATATTCAATTAGCCACCTGCTTAGAAGCATCTATCAGATAGAAAAAAACAGCAATTAATCAATAATTTAAATGTCTATTTTGTATTTCAACCAGCCAAATCAATGATAATGGCCAATTACCATTGAACAAACAAAAGAAACCCAAGCTGGACATTGTTTCTGTCAAACATTCATCAGCATACAACTAAACATGCAATCAAAACAGAGAAAATCACTTTTTTCCTCTGTTATGTCTAGAGACAAATCAACAGCAGATCAACTAGAAGAGCTAGTTCATTGAAGCTGTAGTATGGTGTAGCATAAAGCCTGTGAAGATATTTTAAGATAGTAGAAAGTGTTAAGAATTAGTTCAGCTACTTCACACACCACTGTCAATTAAATTGGAAACAAGGTCTTCATTATTTTTTTCCCCACGGGAAAGCGTAGGATGGGACAGGCTGGCTGGCCACAGGAGGCCACTGCTGCACTGCCCGCACACTGCGGGAGCAGCTTTTCACCCGGGCGCTTGGTGCATTTCTGGGAGGCTGCAGTCTGTAATGCATCAGGTGCTCGTTGTGTTTGTACGGCCGGGGAAGGCTCGGCTGCACTTACCTTCCAGCTAACATGAGCTCTTTCTCAGATGGTCGTGATCGAATTTTGGTGTAAATGTCCATAGTGAACAAAGTGCTAGCGCTGTTAAAAATGGAAGTCAGGGAGCTCATAAGGGAGGCCAACATGACTGACAACATCAGACCCCGCAGACCTGAAACACACAGACAGGAGAACTGGGATGAGCATTCTGTGAAGCCTCAGCACTGGCACCATCCGCAGCGCTTGTCTGACCCTTCCAAGGCAGCCAGCTATGAGTGTGTCTGGCATATCAATGTGCTGATGCTTGCCTGACGTGGTCTTACAATGCAAGCAGAGTGTTGCCTGCTGAGCTTTGGAAAAACGATTTACAGCGGTGACAGGGCAACTCTTGAGCTTTTAGAACACAGGCACTTGTTTTATGAATGCTGAGTAAATGCTGAAACAATAAGAACAAAATACTGAGCAGAATTTCCTCAATAGTTATAAAAATAAATTATCTTGTTTGAGGTGAGTGCTCACTTGTGGTATATTTTTAAACCAGTTGTTTAGCAAAAAAAAGTTTCTTTTACTGTTTGAAAATCAGAGTAAACCACTTCTTGAGATGGTATGATCCAGGGAGCACAATATGGGGAAGTACTGTTTGTTAATAATACTGTGTACAATGGATAGAATACAATGGGGAAGTGCAATACTAAAGATAACGGGGAAGTACCATGGTCTGTATAATATCATAATCTGTCTTTCTAGCCTCATAAACCAGCTCTCTGGTTTTCTGCAGAAATGTGTCTTTTATGTACACATTGTCCTCTCCAGAGTGGTGCTTTACTCTCTCATTGAACAGATGTCCTATGGGACAATGTGTACATAGAATATTTTCTCCTCCCATCTCAGTGGGTTTAGCAGAAGGACTGCAGGTGTATGCCTCCAGCTCAGAAATCCTGGCAGAGACACTCTTTTATAAATCATTGGTAGAGTAGGTTATTTTTTACCTTCGCAGAAAGGGAGCTCACTTACCATTTCATCACCCAGTATCTACCATCTGAGAACTGCCATTGTCAGCGTGTAGCTATTCTGCACCTACAGCTACAACTAACAGAGACTACCCCTTTGATTAATAGTGCATAGTTCCAGCAAGAATTTTTGAACTAAATCTGGGACTTTGGCTCCCCCTATCACCTGTTTTTACAACCTGGCACCCTCATCTTCCCTAAAACAAACAAACAAACAAATACAGACAGTGTCTTACCATTTGGCATAAGCTCCACTACCAATTTTGGATAAGCAATATTTGTGCAGCCGACTGCAGTGCCACAGTGTCGCTGGCAAACTTCAGGCACGACACAAGCCACAACATCTGAGGAGAGGATAATGAGATAGCGTTAGGCAAGGTCATATAAACAACAGATTGCTCCTAAATTAGTAGAGCTTCTAAAATTTATCTCTGTGTTGAACTACTGGATTGACATGCTTGATATGATCCAAGATCCTTGGTCTGCTGGCAGGGAGGAAGGTGATTCTAAGCTTCTATTCCTTCCTTTCCTCTCTAAAAAAAGTACTGAAAAGTGCTGCAAGTCAGAAAAAAACCAACCCAAAATAAAAAAAACAACCCAACCAACCAAAAATCAGCACTCATTTGTCAGAGCAGGACTGAATAACACAAGGAGAGAAAGTAGGAAAACAAGCAGGGGAACACAAAGACCCCTCCCTCCAACAGGAACATCTCTCCTCTGCCTGTTGTTAAACACACTGATGGTTAGAAAGGAGGGATACCAGTATTTCCCCTGTGCTGCACTCGTGACTGTCCATGGCCCAAAATATTGCTGTGACTGCTGATCCTCTTCCTCTGACTGCCAGCAGCGGACCAGTCCAGGACAGCATTTTCCACTTGTTCAGCCAGAGTGGTGCTGTAACAAACAGAAAACTGGGCACGGACACTAAAATGGACAGCAGTAGCACTAGCAGAAACCTGGGATCAAGGAAAAGAGGAAGACCTGTGGCTTCTTACAGTGTAGATAGTTTTTGTGCATACAAGTGTCTGGACAATTTGGATGACAAGACAACAATCTAACAGGTATTTTGGAAGGAATAGAAAACAGGAAATCGAGAGATTGGCAGTGAAATAGAGGCAGCAAGAAGAAATTTGCATTTCTGCATACATACATGTATTTCTATATACATACCTGTATACAAAATTCTGCTGATCATTCCAGGCATCACTATAATAAACATGGGCAAGAGTTTCAAGTATCCACACATGATACAACCGGCCTTCACATGGGACATGTTCTTGCCAGAGAGACATCTTTGGACAATAACCTGTCAATGGGACATAGCAAGCATGCATGACCCAACCAAGAATAGCATTTCCATGAACACACCATTCCAGGTTCCAGATACAAGGTATTTGTTAACCTCTGTGACAGTGAAAGCACCTATTTACC